AATAATAGAAATGAAGTTAGATCAATCGTCGTGGGAACGATACTCGAAATTTTACAATTTCCACTTTATTACTTGTCACAAGACTTGGCTAGGTGCAAGCTCATTCAAAGGGTACACCCCCAAGAGATTCTGCCTAGTCAGAGGTGGTGCGGTGCCATCCTTGACGAAGCGGCATGCGCACATCAAGCAATTGCCGATGCGATATTACTTGTTCATTGGCCACTTCCAGTTTATTTGGTTAAGTTGGGCTGATGCGTTATTGCCTGTTCATTGGCCACTTCCAGTTTATTTGGTTAAGTTGGGCCGATGCGTTATTGCTTGTTCATTAGCCACTTTCAGTTTATTTGGTTAAGTTGGGCCGATGCATTATTGCTTGTTCATTGGCCACTTCCGGTTTATTTGGTTAAGTTGGGCGAATGCGATATTACTTGGTTCATTGGCCACTTCCAGTCTATTTGGTTAAGTTTGGCCGATGCGATATTACTTGTTCATTGGCCACTTCCATTTTTACTACGGCTACACTAAGTCGATGCGATTGTCACGGTTCAGTTGTTTAATTGAGGATGCGATGGTACAGTTATTTGAAGTAAAGAGGCAACAATACTTGGAAAAAATTTCATTATCAAGGAAATGCAGGCTGAAGCCATTACATAAGAAGAAAAGAAGAATTACATGGCCTAATCTACGTTAATTATTGACCCAGCTCCTTCCTCTTGAGGAGCTTCCGCCTCATCATGAAGGGCCTCCTCTTCGGCTACTGGGCGACCCCCGGTAGGTCCACCAAACTCCTCTTCGAGGAACTCGATGTCCAAGTCTGCGTGCCTCTCCTGTAGGTGAGAAATCATTTCCTGGGCAGTCCAGGATGCCCACTAGTTGGCGAAGTCATCGTACTCCGGCGTCTTGTCAAAATTGTCCTTATAATTCTGGACCGCCACTTCGCCAACTACCTTCACTTCAACCTCCAAGAAAGTTATCTTTTCAGCCTGGGCCTCAGTGAGTTTTTTCAACTCGCCCCTCTCCTTGTTCGCCTCCGCTAGAGCCTCCGAGGCCATTCGCTGGTGTTCATTGGCGTCATCGACCCTTTTTGTCAGAGCCGCCACTTGAGAAACGGACTCGTGGAGCTCGTTCTTCAACTGATTAGCTTGGATCTCAGCCGTGTCCAGCTTCGTGGCAGCAGTTATCCATTTTTCCTCCACCTCCTCGACTTCTTTCTTGGCCTTGGCCACCTCGGCCTCCCAGGTCTCTGAGGCTTTGAGCTTCTCTTCCAGCTCGTTATTTCGCTTTCGGAGGCCTTTCACCAGATCCTCCGCCGCGGCGCCCATACTCAGGGCCGTAGCCACGCAGGCATTGTTGGCCGCCAGCAAGTCCTCCACCTCACATGAGGAGGCATGGTTGGCCCAATCATCGGTCCAATACTTGCTGTAGACCCTCGCAGCCGAATCGGTCTCTGGAGGGAGCATCTCCAGCACAGCCTCAAAAAGATCATCGTCCTTGCTCCCCAAGAAATCCGTGGCTTTGCCCTTAGCCGAGGCATTGACAGGTCGCTTCTGCCTCTTTCTAGC